GTGTTCTGCCAACAAATAAAAGGCCCCGTAGCCAACATATAAAGAAAATCTTCGATCTTGAAATACTTCTCGACGTTCACCTGAAAAATAGTTAGCAACGTGGGATAAACATAAAGTCTAGTAGGGATCCCACCATGATCCTAAACAATAACAACTTATAGATAGCTATGATCATGAATGCTTAGTCTCATATTATATAAATAATGTGACGGTTTATAACCAAAAAATATTTACATAAGTACTTTCCCCAAAATTATTCAATTTCTTGAACAATACAGACAGTTCACATTTCCTTTTCATTTTCCATTTCAAAAATATTTCATAACAACTATTTTGTTTTGGAGTTTGAAACATGTTCATAAATCTCTAATTTCCTTCACATTATTTACAAACTCGATACATGGTCTATATCTTTTTCCAACACGTTCAAATATACATATATATACATCTAACATGAAAAACAAAAATAATAAGCACCCAACAATTATTTACTCAACATATGAGATAACTCAGCCTTTCTGAACCATAACCATCATAACGCATGATATACACAGGTACACTGAGATAATAATGATAAATAAGCTCTTCTCTACCTGCCTTAAGCACGCTAAGCCAAGGATGCACCTTTCCATAACGAAATGCCAATTTACCAGACACTGGCTGGAAGGTAATGGTACCTCTGCTAAGTTCTCCAGGCGCTAGTTGGAAAGTACTGGTATCTCTCATTCTAAGCGCAGCCAATTCTTCAGGCGCCAGCTGGAAAATGCTGGTACCTCTCATTCTAAGTGCAGCCAATTCTCTAGGTGCTAATGGTACCTCTCATTCTCAGCGCAGTATACGTTACCAATATACACAACATGACAAAGTGCAACTAACACAAGTGTAATGCATACACATAAATATTCAACACAACAATGTCATCCTCCACCGATAACCAATGACAAAACCTCTAAATGTATGTACTCAACACACGTATTATAATAATCCAACTCTCATAAGATTTTAAACCCAACAACAACAATAGTAAAATAAAATATTCATAATCTGACCTCAAGTTCATTTATGAAATTTACATAGTGTTATGATTTCCTTCTTTTTTTTCAAAAATCAATTATCTTATTTTCCAAGCTAACATACACCACTCTTTATCCCTATTCCATTCCTTTCATTTCACAAAACTAAATCCATAGATATCAAAGCCACAACCCAACTCAACTTAATATGATCAATCCAAAATAATTCCAATGTCACAGTTAATTCTCCCTTTTAGCTATTAACACATTTACACAATCCATAAAAATAATTTACAAACATTATTCAACTTTACTCCTTTTTAATTCACCAAGTCAAAATATTAAATTAGGGCATTTTCTCCCTTTCAACATAAACATGTTAGACTACTCCCCAATTAATCCAAAAAACAATCAATTTAACAATCTCATTCACAAATAACAAACCCTAGATCCCATTTTCATGACTTTCAAAGAAATCCATAATGGATATGATTTTTATGCAATAAAATCTACTACATATCTATCTATAGATGAGGTATTGAAAAGGAGCAAAGAAATCTCCACCTCAAGCAATGAAGAGAAGATGCTCGAAAATCCAACTTCAATGAAAACACGATATGCCTAGATTAAATGGAAGCCCTCGTCGAGCTCTACGTTTTGGTGTATGGAACTAGGGGTCAAAGATGTGTAGAAATAGATGAAAACAAGGCTAAAAATCTTGAAAACTCAACAATGGCGGAAGAAGAGGGAAAAAGGAGTGAAAAGTGAAGAGATTTGACCCAAAAAGTGACTTTTAAAGATATGATTTTGAACACTTCGCTCGAGCGATGAAAGTTGCGATCGAGAAAACAATCGAGGCTTCTAGTATCTCAGAAAATTTTGAAAAACAGAGCTGGAAGGGTCTATCGCTCACTCCAGCGAAGAAAGTTGCGCTCGAGCGAACTAAGTTGTGCTCAAGCGAACTATGCACACAACACAGATTTACAAACTTCAAACAGGCATAACTCTCTTGTCCGAACTCTATTTAGGGTCGTTCTTGTGCCCAAATTGAAGCCCCGAAAGTAAGCTTTCCAATGGTTCTAGCCTCACATCAAGATTCAAAGTGTAGAGAGAGAAAATGATGGAAGAGTGAAAACTACTCAATAACAATTATTCGAATTTGGCGTTTCTGATTCAATCTCACTCAACCACTATGGTAACACCTCAACCAAGGCTCAAATATCAACTAAGAAGGTTCTCAATCAGGATAATTGAGGATTCAAATATAGTTCCATTATAACATGAAGCACAGAGTGCTACTTTTTTAGAGAGTGATGAGAGAAAATAGAGAAAATTAAATGTAGATAGAGAGAATAAAGTAAAAAGTGAGGGAAAGGGAGTGTAAGGCTCAACTTTTAAGTGATTGGATACATTTTTTGGAACTGATTGTAGACAGACCGCTTGAGTGAACAATCCTATGCTCGAGCGAACAATTCAAATTCCCAGACCGCTCAAGCGAACAAATGTGTGCTCGAGCAAACAATTCTAACTCTTAGAATCTCTCTTATCTCTGCAAAAAGACCGCTCGAGCGATGAAGTCTTCCCTCAAGCAAAAAATGAACACTCACAATATTTCAGACTTCAGAGCAAAGTACTAGGAGGACGATGTTACTGCTCGAGCAACAAAAATACCTCTCGAGTAGTCTCAACACAGAAGTAAGACAACAACTACCTTAATGAAATTTTCCACCATTTTTAGATTCATTCTAACACCCAAATAGATAGAGTTTAAATAGATAAGAAAAATAAACATTTAAGAAAAAAAAAATAGGCTTCTGAAATTCAACAGATATGGGAGAATATGCTTGAATTTCAATAGATAGAAAAAATTAGAAAAAGAATTTCAACAGATTAGAAAAAATATGATAAGAATTTGAACAAATAGAATTTCACACAGATAGATTTTCAAAATTTCAACAAATAGAATAAAAAAATTTCAACAGATAGAATGGTCAAATTGGAAACAAAATGTTCTTAAAAACAATAAAAGGATTTTTCAACAAACTATTTCACAAAGTGTGGACTTCTTACCAACAAAAAATATTCACTGAACCTAATGCCTTCGACAATTGTTAGTTTGGACTTTTCAACAATTTTCTCTAAATTAAAATTAGTTAATTGGGAATGAATGATTAAGAAATCATTTGAGAATAATAAACAATTCAAACAATTTCTCATTTCTTACACCTAAAATTAAAATTAATCTTTACTTGAATGGAAAAATTATTTGAGAATAATAAAATACTCAATTAATTTGTTATGAATGATACTTAAAATCTATTTCTCCATCTTTATTTATCTCATTTAAACTATTTTTATTAAATTAGATATTAAAATTTATTTCTCACTTTCATTAATGGTTGAATTTTTATTTTATTTTTTATTTATAAAAGTTCAAAAATTTCTTGTGAAAAACAAATAGAGCCAAGAAATTAAATTTATGATTTAAAAAAATTATAAAAAATAAATAAATGTTTCATATATATTTAATAGGGTAAATTAAATTACATTTATATTTTTTTTTCTTTAGAAAGTGTTTTATTTCGTTGTGTGTTTAAATTAGTATTAGAGTCTGATTTCTTCATCTTTTCAATAACATTATATGAATATTAGATATACGGAAGAAATAAGATTAGATAATTTAAATAATAACACTTCGCCATAAATAATTATAGAACAAAATAAAGGTGAGAAATTAAAAAATAAAGTAAAAATTCAACCATTAATGAAGGTGAGAAATTAATTTTAAGATTTAGTTTAATAATAATAGTTTAAATGAGAAAAATAAAGATGGAGAAATATATTTTAAGTATTATACAACAAATTAATTGAGTATTTTACTATTCTAAAATAATTTCTCCATTCAAGTAAAGATTAATTTTATTTTTAGGTATAATAAATAAGAAATTGTTTGAATTGTTTTTGATTCTCAAATGATTTCTTGATCTTTCATTCCCTATTAACTAATTTTAATTTAGAGAAAATTGTTGAAAAGTCCAAACTAACAATTGCCTAAGGCATTAAGTTCAATGAATATTTTTTGTTGGTAAAAAGTCCACACTTTGTCAAATAGCTTGCCGAAAATTCCTTTTATTGTCTTTAAGAACTTTTGGTTTCCAATTTTACCATTTTATCTGTTGAAATTTTTTATTTTATAGGTTGAAATTTTGATTTTGTCTATCAAAAATCTATCTGTGTGAAATTCTATTTGTTCAAATTCTTGTCATATTTTTTCCTATCTATTGAAATTTTTTCCTAATTTTTTCTATCTGTTGAAATTCAAGCTTCTTTTCCCTTATCTGTTGAATTTCATAAGCCTATTTTGTTCCCAATATATTTATTTTTTTTAATCTATTTAAACTCTATCTATTTGGATGTTGGAATGAATCCGAAAATGGTGGAAAATTTCATTAACGTTGTTGTTGTCTCACTTCTATGTTGAGACTGCTCGAGTGGTACTTCTGGTGCTCGAGTGGTAACATCGTCCTCTTATTACTTTGCTCTGAAGTCTGAAATATTATGAGTGTTCATTTTTTGCTCCAGCAAAGATTTCATCGCTCAAGCGGTCTTTTTGCAGATAAAAGAGAGATTCTAGGAGTTAGAATTGTTCGCTCGAGCGGTCTGGGAATTTGGATTGTTCACTCGAGCGTAGGATTGTTCGCTCGAGTGGTCTGTCCACAATTAGCTCTGAAAAATGTATCCAATCACTTAAAAGTTTAGCCTTACACTCCCTTTTCCTCACTTTTCACTTCTATATATATATATATATGTGTGTGTGTGTGTGTGTATTTCATTTTCTCTCTTTTCTTTCATCTCTCTTTAGAAAACCCTCGACCCACCTCATTAACTCCTTGATCCTTCTTGATCCATTTGGATTTTAACACTAGTATCTTCATTAAAGTTGGAAACAATATAAAAGGGCCCAAACCAATCTTGATCCAAATTCAACCACACTGATACAGTCCCACTAGGGTTTTTAAGACTTGTACTACGCAACTCACACTTATCTCTGCCGCTCCGGCTAGGGTTTACAGAACCCCACAATTTTTGTCTCTCTTTCTCTCTCTCTAAGTTTATTGTTGTTGTAAGATCTAATTATGGAGTTAACCAATAACTAGGGTTTCCTGGTTGCTTCTGAAACTCCAAAAGCTTCGAGCTTTTACATCGCTATGTATCTGTAAAAACATATATCGAACTATATAACAATGGCGACCACAAACCCTTTTGATCTTCTCGGCGACGATGACAACGACGACCCCAATCAGCTCCTCCAGAAGCTCCGTCCCCTCCGAAGAAAGCCACAGCTCCGGCTCAGTCCGCCGCCGCTACTCAGCCGGCTAAGCTGCCCTCCAAGCCTCTCCCTCCAGCTCAGGCCGGTAAAGCCTCTGATTTAGACTCTCTCTCTCTCTATCTATCTCTCTCTTCATTTCCAAAGCATATGCTTAAGATCGATGTGTTTGTGCATCTGTATGTATATGTGTTTTTATGCAATATAAATGTGTACATATTGTGTGTTATGTTTTGATATATGGTGGAAATGGAATGAAAATGAAATTCAGATTATTGATGTTCATCTTTGAATGAAAAAAAGTTGTGTTTTTGGTGTGAGGTTGCTAAGAAAATGGAGGAAATTAAAAGATTTGATTTCATGAAGAGGAGATTTAGAATTCTCATATATGTTATTTGCAAAATTTTCTACAGATACTTTATAAGAGGTAGAAAAAAAATAAAAGAATACATTTGGATGTATTCATGTTCTTTGATATTGCTAGCATTGGACTTTTACAGATTCTACCATGGTTACCATCACCAGCATGGTAGTTTCTAAAACAAAGTACCTTGGTACATTGTCATTTTCTGAAATGAAGAATAGATTTTCTGGTGGATCTTGTTCTTTATTTAGTACTTAAAGTCATCCTTAAGAAAGGTTCCTATTTCATTATTTATTTATTTTTCCTTTTTGAAATGTTTCTGAATTAGATCTTTGATTAGACAGTCATACAAGCAGTTGGCAGCTCTTCCTTTATATAAAATATACAATTTGAAATTTTTCCTTTTTGAAATGTTTCTTTTATTTGTGGTGTTTGGCTTGGGGTTTGATCTTGTTGTAATATGCACCTTTATATTTTCTTTCTTAATCTATTTGATCTCTTGATTCATGAATGGTGCAGATTTCTATTATACTTTTTTTGTCATAAATTCCTCAAAACTCTCATCAAAATACACCCTTGACATAACTAGAGTATCTTGTGAAATTCATATTTTATTTGTTCCTCAATATTTACTCTCTAGACACATCTCATTTTATTGGTACTTCACTTCAGCACTTTCCCGCTTGTTGCTTGGTTCATATCCCTCTTTTTGGTGAGTCTAGAAACTGATATAAAAAGCTATTTCTTGCCTTGCTAGGCATCTCATTCTTGTGTATATGCTAGTTGTTCAGTCACAGTGTAATGAGATATGCTTGCTGCTTAGATTGGATGTCTACATTTTTCAGATTCTTCTCTATTCACTACTAGAAAAAGTAGATATAACCACATTTTTTTGTGGCATTTTTTTTTTGTAAATGTCGCAAAATCTGTTAACCAATCTTTTAAATTCCTAATGACGGTGGGATAACCCTCCTCCAGCCCAGCCAGAGACCCACCCTGCCTCCTAAGAGAGGTGATGTGCTCATGCAAATCCTTGTTGGCTACTAGTTTGATTTCATTCATACCACTTCTCTACTACTAGTAGTATTTTTTCCAAGTATTTTAATATCTATGTTTTGGGTATTGTTGTGTTGTTTTTCTCTTTTCTCCAACCTGAATTGTAGTGGTGAAAAATCCTCTGTTCTCAAATGTTTGTTATTTGTCCTTAAAAACACTCATAATTAGTGGATTACATGTGAATCTCAGGTGTGTAAGAATTTAAAACATATCCATTGATAGGGAAATGTGCCAAAAAGGAGTGAAGTTTGCAAGTAGACTGAATGAATTTTATATGTTGCATAAATCTGGTTATCAGTCTCTTGCCTTGATATGAAAAGCTTAATTGTAGTATTTGAGTGCTACGTTTGGTCTTTAATCTTAAAGGCAAATTACCCTTGTAGTTATTGTAATTTCACTCTTATGTTGATAATTTGGTCATTTAGTTCTATTTTCCTTGACCAAAAAAAAAAAGAAAAGAATTTCTTACCATGTTACAATTTAATGCAATTGATTATGCCTATTGTAGAAATTGGGTTTAGATGAAATTTGGTGATTATGGTGTTAGACATCCAATTTGAAAAAAAATTTATAACCACTCTTACCACTACCATAGTTGGTGGAACTTATCTGTGAGGTGAGTATCCAATGCTTTGCAAATGTTATTTCATTGTATAAACAACGCATTGCCATTGTGAAGGTCATTGAGAATGAGTGGTTTAAGAAGGGATATAAGCCTCCTATTTTTGCAAACAAGGATGTTAGTCTCGACGATGTGGATGCTATTTTCAATGAATCAAGGGTAACTATATCTTGCTTACAATTTCAGTCAAAAAATATTTGATCATCTACCCTTTCGGTTAGTATTGAGGAATAGGGCATTGGGGGTGACTTTAATTGTGATTTTTGTTTTGATGTACAGGACACTCAAAACCTTGTCGTGGAAAGACGGGAAGAACAACCTGTGAATCCTGTCTCCATGAACACTTTTGAATACTTATATCTAAATCTTAGGGTCTCAACCTCAGTTCTCTGTTTGAAAAGCAAATGGTATGTCAAAGGCATATAGCTTTTTGATTGTTATGTTTTGGTAGCCGAGCTATCAGATGCAGAGATCTTTAGAATCTGAGCATTCCATGCATTTTTGTCAGTTAAGTTAGAGTTCCTATCTCATGTCATGAATGAACCAGCTGATATTTAGTTATTGGTCACCTAAATATGCCAATTCAAGTAACTCAATATTTTGGTTTTTATGTTTTGTGCTTTTGTTTTTCTTTTCTCTTTTTAGTTTCTAATGATAACAATTGATTTTTGTTTGGCAGGTGAAACGATGACAACCCTTCTCAGTGATAAATGTACTAAGTTATTGTATGAACAGTACAAAACTAGGTTATTTGAAGCCACTGCAAGTACCAGTTAATGCATTATTTACTAAGCTGATATATATATATACTTTAATTCTCGTTGTTTTTATGACTACAAGTTGCATCATGCAATTTTGGATTTTTGTTTTTATATTTTTTTTAAACCTGTTTTCATTATTCATATTGATCATCAAGCCATCCAAATTGTCCCTTGTATGCAGAATGGCAGTGCTGCTCCAAAGTCACGCATTCCTCAAATAGTGGCTCAAACACTGGGTTTTGGCCAAAAACATAATGCAACTGTTGATATACCGTTGGATTCAATGAATGTAATCAATTTACAGTTTGAATTTATATTGTTTCATAGTATTGGGAGCACTGAGTTGTATATCATGTGGTGTGATATGGCAGGATCCTAAGAAAAAGGAGAAGGAACTTGCAGCTTGGGAAGCGGATCTAAAAAGGAGAGAACGTGTTCGTTTTGCCTTTCATTATCGAGAATATACTTGCAACTGTACCTCATAAATCTGTTTATATTTTCTTATTTGTAAATTACTTATTTGACTGCCTTCAAAATAACAACCAGAGTTCTTCATGATTTGATGATGACTTGTTTAGATGTTGCCATTATCGCAATATATATATTGATTGTGTACACTTTTTAAGATATTTATATACTTCTTTTCAATAGTACTGATGCATGCCATATTTTTCAGGAAATTAAACGAAGGGAAGATACTGTTTCCAGTGGTAAGCCATGAGATGAAGGCCAATACGTATATATTGCTTTGAGAATAGTTTTATATGATTTTCCTGGATAATGATATTTTTCTGATTTATTTCTTCTAATATTGCATTTTCAGCTGGTGTCCCTTCAGATGATAAAAACTGGCCTCCATGTTTCCCAATTATTCATCATGATATAGGCAATGAAATTCTTGTTCATGCTCAGAAGTTGCAGTATCTGGCTTTTGCAAGTTGGTTAGGTATAGATGGCTTCATTTTCTAATTTGAGGATTTTCCTTATTCCTTTTATGTGTCGACTTCTGAGTTTGATCACCATATACTGGCAATACTACTGTCCTAGCTAGTTGCTTTCTTTAAGAAACACCCCCTCCCTGCCTCTGGGCTGCCAAATGAATGAAATAATAAAATAAAGCGAAAATCAATACTCATCACCTGTTCATTTTTTATAGATGAGTTTTTGATATATGAATGAATACTCATGATCAAATTACTGTTTTTTTACTTTATTGACTGCCTGAATATCAATGAAGTGCTGATCGTCCAGCATGATTTATTATATGTTTTAGTTGAGTTTAAATATAGAGGATAGTTTCATGACAACTAAAGTGACTTAATATGCTTATTCCTACACCACCTCCACCATCACGACCACCACCAGAAAGAAGTCTTACAAGGTTAATATTCGAAATTGGATGATACAAGAGTAAATTTTTTTCCTCCTTTTTTCATTTATATTGTCTTTCTAATATAACTTTGGTAAGAAGACTTCAATTGATCTACATTTCTTTTATATATAACTTAGCCTGTTTCACTGATATTTTTTTTCCCCTTTACCCCACTTGCCATTGCAGGCATAGTTCTTTGCCTTGTATTTAATGTTATTGTTGTGATAGTTTGTTGGATTAGAGGTGGAGGTAAGGCTTCTAATATTTTCTTTTCTTCCATACTTTGGGCATATGCATAAAAGTGTTGACAGGCTGCAATATAGAACTTCTGACGTGGTCACTATTTCCAGGTGTAAAAATATTTTTCCTGGCAATAATCTATGCTCTACTTGGATGCCCTCTTTCATATGTCCTATGGTATAGGCCACTTTACCGTGCAATGAGGTATTCAGCTGTTCTTGTTTTGGCTTTTCATTTCCCAATTTCATCCCGTGCCATCTGTGGGAAATTTCAAAATTCATGTACACTTTTTTCCAGTGGAGGAGGGACGTTAGTAGGCCTCCCCATGCCCCATAATCCCTTTAACCTGGCAGGATTCAATCCTAGGTTTTCTATTTTTCTTTTGAAGCCATATCTTATGGCATTGCGTCAACCATAACACTTAGAATCATTGATGCTTTGACATCATCTCGGCGCACAGGTGGACATGGTATGAATGGTTTGTTAAGGAAAATTCTCATGGAAAGGTGCAAGAATTTGACCTTAAGGTGGTATGAATGGTTTACTCGTAAAAGGGCCAAAACATTAGATTGGCATAGGCTCAATACATGAGGTTTGCAATGTTTAACTATTTGTGGGGCTTCTGGAGTAAAGCCACATTTACCTCTAGCCTCTTGTAAATCATAGTCCAAATTTTCTCATTTTTTTAGCACTGTAATACTATTTGGTAGGTTTGGCATTTAGCAAGTAACTCTGGTAATTTTCAGGTTAATCTTGAATACCTTGGACGGGTTGTTTTCTACACAAATGGCATTCTGTACCCTGATAGCGTGGTTGGAACTGATTCCCATACAACTATGATTGCTGGCTTAGGAGTTGCTGGCTGGGGAGTTGGAGGAATTGAATCTGAGGCTACAATGCCTGGCCAGGTATTTTCAGATAATAATGTATTTTCTTTATGATTTTTCATACGCTTGTGCTAGCTGTTAGTGTTTGCACTTATTCTTTGGTAGACAGACATGCATGAAATGGGTAGCTGTTTTCTCTTCTTTTTCCTCCAAAGGTGCAAAAGAAAATGCAGCCTCTGTTTCTCCAAAACCTGCTGCTGCTGGTGATAGTAACTGCAATGTATGTACTCTCCCCTCCCCCCCCACCCAAAAAAAAAATGGAGTAAATTCTTGAGTTTTTATTTATTTATTTATGGGTACCTAGAATTATGGTTTAACAGTAATAATAATATACATTCACAAAAAGATCGTAAACAAGCTGTATTGAGATTTATCATTTTTAAATACTGTGCTCATTAGTGACCTCCTAATTACAATGTCATTGACATTGAGCTGCTATGGCATCTAATTGTTAACATGGAAGTTATTTCCAAAAGAATTAAGATCAAGCAGAAATGATTAATGTTCTTATTTTGGTTTGCTGAATTAACTTTTTAGTTTATTCATATACATCAGTGGTTTCTGGATTAATTTGTGTTTTCATTTTTCAGGTCAGAAATTTTTTGGAGAGAAGCAAAATATGGTCCAAGAATTAAAGAACTTAGTTTTTTAAGTTTTTTCATTTTTTAATAGATGTAAACACAGTTAATTTTTTTTATTTAATTCTTTGGTATATACTTTTGAATATTTAATTTTCATTTATGAAATATATGACGTTATTCCATTCAATATATAGTTGTGATTCAAAATATAGAATATAGTGTGTATTATATTCTTCAAATGCGCGTACAAAAATAATATTGATTATTCTTCAAATATGTCGAATTCT